TTGTAAGTCCTAATTCAAGATAATAAGGTTAGTATCAAAATCAAAGCAAAAAACAATCGAACGGAGTGAAAAACTAACCTCACTTGCTCATGGGGCCTCCTATGCACAAGGCCATGCGCTTTTAGTAAGGACTTAAGCATGAGGTTAGTTTTTCTCAAATTTCCTTTCGTGCCACATGTCACTCGCTGATAAGTCATCGTAACACGTGTTCCCCCATTTGATCTCTAGCAACCATGATTCCTAAGGTTTTACACAAATTTAATCTTCGGTCATCGCATGTACTCCATTTACACCAGCTGTGTGTCTTTGCCTATGACTTTAGTCTTTCTATGAAGTGGAAGATCTTATCCTTCTCATACATATCTCAGATGTCCAACATCTGCACGGAGAACTATTTAACATATTCTCGGATGTTTCCTATGTATTTGAATTCCGTAGTTTCCTTCTAGCCAAGATTTTGACATTCTCTTCCCTTGGAAGAATTGACATCGAAGTTTTTGTTTTAGTTTTTCCCAAGTGTCTATTGTGCATCACCCTTCTTGAATGTCCATGTACCTCGACGTCCACCATAGTTTTGCATCATCTGCTAGATGTATGGTGGCCAAGGCGATCTTTGCATCCTCTATCATCATGTTCATCATCTAGAAGTATTACTCAAGGTTGAAGATGAAGTTCTCTAGGACCTTGTCGTCTCGAACCCCGCAAAATAGTTTGGGCTCCGAAATCTTGATCTTATTGAACTGAACTGCTCCCCCTATATGGGTTTGACTTCTCACCGCTCTTATGGTGAGGTTTACCCTAGTACTTAGTTCCATCATTTTTTCCCTAACCAAGTCGAGGGCTACTTTCACATCTTCAGATAGCTTAATGACCAGTTGAATAATTGCTTTTCAGGAGATGTCTAAATTATCGACTCGCTCTTCAATAAGGGCAGCAGAGCTCGTCAAGATGTCTCCTTGCTCAAGGCCACTAATCTTTGTGAATTTTGCTTCAAGGTTATCCATTATGTACATAAGTTCCTAAATGGGTAACCCATATAACTAACCCGCTACCACATCAACCATGTTGGTCTTGTCGACAAGTTTTTCACCTGCACGTCCAAGTACTGAATACTATCACAGACTTCTCGCAAGTATTGCATTTATTCTTTAATGTCGACGAGTTGGTCGACGTTGGACTTATTAACCTGCTTGGTTGTAGACCTGTTTATCCAATCAATTTTGAGACAACTCAAATCTGATACATTCATAATCGCACTCTTATGCGACGTTTGTAAACGATTGTGGGGTCACTCACTCTCACCACTGAGTGAGTCAGCTAACTCAAAATCGTGTCGCTTTTAGCCAGATGAAGTATACCCAAGTTGAAGCCTTATACACTTAAAAAATACATTAAGGAAACTATACATCATGAAGAGGTTTTGCATATAATGGGCATGCGGCCATGAACATCACACCTTGAACAAGAGATAAACGAGGAATCACATGAAGGGTGCCAAGAAAGTAGAGATTCCTTTTTAGTATTACAAATAGATATGACAAAAGATAGATAAATGTGGAGAAAGTATTTGATGATGTGATAGCCATTAAGAGAAACTAGCAAAAACACACATAGAATAGGCCTTGTAACGTAGATATCTCCACTAATCAATCAACATAGCTTTTCACCGTCTCTGAAAATAGAGAGCAAAACTTGTCCATAGCTTGAGGTGGAAGAGCAATTCCAAGCTCAACTCCCCCATCCCCATTTCTACTCTCCGCCATTGAAAAAACTCCATTAGGGCTTATGGAAACTTGCTCCACTTTCTTACTCCTTCCCCAACCAAAGTCAATGTCATAAACTCCAAGCCTTGGTGATCCCGCCACTATAATAAGCTTATCAATGGGCATCTCTTTCCTCCATCTCTCCGAAATTGCTTCCAACATTTCCACTATTTTGTTCTCCTTCCCATTCTTCTCTATCTCCTCTATTTCCTCACTAATCTTATTTGAAATCATCGCCATCCCATTTTCTTCCTCTAACTCCCTCGCTTCAGCAAACACTCCATACGCACTTACACAATTACCAAAATAATTGAGCCCTCCTAGCATATCCATACGAGCCCGCCAATCCACAAGAAAGATCAACCCTATCTTACATTCGGGTGCAATTCGCTGCGCTTTGACAATGCAAGTCGAGGCAAGAGAAAACGCCAACATCAAAGTGGTTAAACGACGAGGAGTGGATGAAGAAGTTGCTACCACTCTTCTCCTCACCTTCTCTATGTCAATGCAAGTAAGCTCAAACGTGGCATACACCACATCATCCGAGATGACCTCTTTCGGGGCAAGTCCAAGTAATTTAGGGACAAAGATTTCAAAAGACTTAACATAAATTGTATGCAACCCATTTGGATCCGTGGCGGATGTTCTATCAAAACATGGTGTCAACTCAGACGGCAACGTGGGGGGATTCTTATTATTAGTATTATTGAGTGTACTACAAATGGAAGCCCATGATTTCAAGAACATGGTGGATGTTTTGGCATCAGAAACCACATGGTTGGTTATGATGCCAATGCAAAACCCACTTTTGGGGAATAAAGTGATTTGGAGAGACATGGCTGGAGCAATGGTGTCGGATGTTGGGAGTTGGGGTACGAGGAAATGGGATTCGGTTGCCTTCCGGGCATGATTTGAAGAGAGGAGGTGGAAATCAGCGTGGGTTTTAGCAATAGTGAGGGAAACAGAGTCGCCAGGGTTGTAAAGAATAAAGGGGTCCGGAGATTGAGGCGGCCAAACGAGGCTTCCGGCGAGGGGGAGAAAGTGGGAGAGGGCGTGGGAGAGAGAGTGTTTGAGGTTTAAGAGTATTGAATCCAAGTGAAGTAGCTGATGGGGAGATAAGGAGTAGAAGAGAATGTGCTGTGTGGGAGGTGCTGAAAAGAAGCTCAGATCGAAGAGAGTGAGTGGCAGAGAGAAGGGAGTGGGCGGTGAAGGGGAGGGACTAATCTTGCACACCTCCAATATCTCCATGGCCATTTTCTACATCATAAACTAATGAATGAATGCCTATTTGTACTAATAATAATAATAGGGGCATTTTAGTCATTTCAACCTTCTTCTCCGACACGTGATTCACGAACCTACACTCCACCCTTCACCCTTAAAACATTTATAATTTATTACCAACTTGGTTTTGATTTTTTTTTTCATACAACAATATAATATTAGATTATTTGCAAAATCTAGTGATAGTAGATAGAGAAAATAATAAAAATAATATTAACAATAATTTTAATTTTAAATTTTTTATTATTCCAATTTTGTTTAATATTAGACTATATTAGTGACGATGTAAGATAAGATGATGACATAATGATGACGAAATGATTTAAGATTGTATGATGATGAGATAGTTTAACATGATGTTATTCCATGTTATGATGACGTGTATGTATTAAATGTCATTATGCATTATGACAATCATTTGTTTTTCTAAAGACATAATCCTAATTGAAGTTAATGATGATGAGTGGTATGAAAACCAATTGCTACATGTTACTTAGAGTAATATATGAATGGTGTATAGAGTTGTGTCGCGAGGATTATTTAAAGATGAAAACTATAGGGATCTCATGCATTTTGTGTGTACATATACATCGGGATATTTTTCCGTTTATCATGATGAGTATGGACGCGTATACTAGGATGATGATGATAAATGTCTCGCATGACATTTAGGGGTCTGCTAACCTTCGAACGTCACTACAACAACTAGCTCAACTATGATGGGTCTAGGGGGTGCGAACAACCTAGGGATCCACACTCGCACATGCGGGTCATGTATAGAAAAGTACTACACGTCCAATTTTATCCGAACTAGAGGCCGTCCCTACGATGGTTTTAATGATAAGTCTCAAGATCATGAGTTGCATGTGTTTGCATTCTTTGACCCCAATAATAGAGTCACTTTACTACGAAGTCACTTACTGAATATTTCATAAAGTGTGATACTTCTATTTTAGGTAAAGACAAGGCACCCCGTACAACATCACAATCAAAAACCATGACACGTGCATAGGATAGTAATATTTTATTTTATTTGTCTTAGTTTAGTATGTTAGATGAAAGTGTCCCACATTGGTTAATTTAGGGAATGATCATGAGTTTATAATATAAGAATACACTCTCCCTTGGTTTGAGGCCTTTTGAGGAAGTCCAAAGCAAAGCCATGAGAGCTTATGCTCAAAGTGGACAATATCATACCATTGTGGAGAGTCGTGTTTGTCTAACATGGTATCAAAGCAAAGTCATGCCCTAAACTTAGTCATGCCAATAGATTGGCAAATTCTCGAATGTCAAACAAAGAACTCCAAAAAGAAAAAAAGAAGTCAAGCCTCCTCGAAGACAATAAAAAATGACTAAGACTCCAAAAGAGTCGAGCCTCGATTAAGGGGAGGCGTACTTTGTTGGAGGGGAGGTTTTAGATGAAAGTGTCCCACCATGCCAATAGATTGGCAAATTCTCGAATGTCAAACAAAGAACGAAAAAAAAGAAGTCAAGCCTCCTCGAAGACAATAAAAAATGACTAAGACTCCAAAGGAAGAGTCGAGCCTCGATTAAGGGGAGGCGTACTTTGTTGGAGGGGAGGTCGAGCCTCGATTAAGGGGAGGCGTACTTTGTTGGAGGGGAGGTTTTAGATGAAAGTGTCCCACATTGTTTAATTTAGGGAATGATCATAGGTTTATAATCTAAGAGTTCACTCGTGGACTAACATAGTATAAGGTGTTTTTACTTTTAATGTTTTACTTGTTTTATTTAATATTCACTTACGTTATTTTAAGATGTTTTCAAATACGTAAATTCATGACAATATTTTAAGATGAAGTATGCGTTTTAAATATTTAATTCTGATGATGAGCTGAATTTAGATTAATAAAAATCTAAGATCAATTAACAAGAAATTATCCTAATAAACCTTATTCTCCATAAATATTTATTTTATAAAATGTCTAATGGAAGTACAAATAAATATTTTGTTTATTCTTGGTTTCATAATAGAATTAACTTTATACAATATATCTTAATATATAATGTTTATGAATTTAATTAAATAACTATTATATTCTATTGCCATTTCTTAGTTGTTTCCTGAATAATGCAACACATGCCCATATGGATTCTTCTGAATGCTCGAACGACGTCACCAGCCACACGAAAAGGGAGCCTACGTTTCAGTAAGTTCGTAGATACGTTCATCCATGTAAGGCAACGAATCAAAAGTTGATATCAGAACCTGCATAAAGCATTTGGAAAGAATTGTATAAAGTAATGTAATTTGATCCAAAAGAAAATGTACCTGAAAGCAAACTATTTTCAATGTATGAGGAAACATTACCGAAGTCGAAAAAGTTCCGAACAAGTGAGGATTGAACTTTTTTTTCATATTGATTGTCAAATTCGTCCTTCGAAATAATTCTCGAGACTCGACGAAGTTGTATAGTCAAAGGTATCAAATGTTTTCAAGCAATTACTCCGTTCATAGGGCACTCCAGCCAGCTCTCTTCTCCACCCCTCTTTGCTTCATCACACCACGAACTTTTTCCACTTCCTCCCACCTTCCCAAGCAACCATACAGATCAGACAATACTATATAATACCCATCATTTTTTGGATCAGACTCAATTGCATGTCTGCCAATCCTTATACCCATTTCAAATTCATTGTGAAGCTTACAAGCACTTAACAAGGAGCCCCACACAGTGCCATCAGGCGTGATGGGCATTGATAAAACAAGAGCCTCCGCTTCTTCAAGGCTACCTGACCTGCCAAGAAGATCCACCATAGAAGCATAGTGCTTAAGACTAGGTTTGATACCATATTTATGCATTACATCAAAGAGACGCCTTCCTTCTACCATATGCCCTGCATGATTACAAGCTGAGAGAAGAGAAAGAAAGGTAAGTGCATTTGGTTTAATGTTTGAGTCTTCCATTAGTTGGAAGATCTCAATAGCAGATTCCACATGTCCATGCATCCCATAATTTGATATCATGACATTACACAAAATAACATCCCTCTCTTCCATTGAGTTGAACAATGTTCTTGATGTCTCGAGCTCCCCACATTTTGCATACATATCAATCAATGCAGTTCTAACAGTGATATCAGTCTCAAATCCATTTTCCTTTATGTACTGGTGAATCCTCTCACCTTTATCTAAGGATGCAAGATGAGCACATGCCGAAAGAACTATTATGCAGGTAACTCCGTTGGGGTTGAACTTTTCTTTAATCATTTTATCGAATAAATCAATTGCTTCAGAAGGGTGCCCACTTTGCTTGTAGGTCGAAATCAGCGTATTCCATGAGATAATATCCTTTTGTTGTGTCCTATGAAATATCCTCCATGCGGCGGTTAAATTACCACTTTTTCCATACATGTCCAAGAGTGAGTTAGCTATTGATACATTGTCAATGATCGAGTTTTTAATCGCATAGCAGTGGACAGACCGACCAATATTCACAGCTCCGACTGGTAAACATGAAGAAATGACTGAAACTAAACTATTCAAATCAGGTTCTATGCCTAAGAGGTACATCTCCCTGAAAAAGTCTATACATTTTTCTTTCTCCCCCATATTGCTGTATCCTAATATCATTGTGTTCCAATCTTCACTGCTTTTATGGAAGCTATGGAAGATCTTATCTGCCGTACGTAAGAGTCCGAACTTACAATACATGGAGAGTAATGCATTGTGGGTTATTCCACTCACTGCACAACATTGTTTCAGAATCCAAGCATGGAAGGCTTTTCCTTCAGAGATTCTATCAAAATTACCAAAACCCAGAAGCATGCAACTGATCACGATGTCATCTGGAATTATTCCACTGGCCTGCATCTCCCAAAATAAATGTAGACATTCACTCATTAACCCGAGTTTGGAGTGAACTGCCATAATTGATGTCCAAGAGATGAGATCTTTTTGCTCCAATTTAAAAAAACAACGATAAGCTTCTTCAGGTGACCCACACCTCGAGTACATCGAGAGAATAGAAGATTTAACGACTTCAAAACAGAGAAATCCACTTTTTAAAGCCAAACCATGTAAGCATCTACCCTCTACTAAAGCCTCCAAATCAACACAAGCTTGAAACCCACCTCCTATTGTTCTATAATTTGGGGTACATCCATTCCTATGCATCTCAAACAAACATTTCAAACCTTTCTCACTCTCGTTATTCTGGACATAACCAATTATAAGGGCAGTCCAAGCAACTACATCCTTAACAGTAATGTCATTGAACATGAGAGATGCACTTTCTGCGTTACCACATTTGGAATACATGTATATCAAAGAAGAACCAACAGCAGAATTACCAACAAAGAGCCCAAGTTTCAAAGCCAACCCATGAATGTTCATGCCATGGTTGAGCATCATTAGTTCCGCACAAGTGGAAACCACCATGGGAATTGTAAATTGGTTTGGCAGGCTACTCGATGCTCGCATCTCAAGGTAGAAATCAAATGCCTGTAGGTAATCACCATTGGAGAAGTGGGATTGGATAATGGAATTCCAAAGAAATTTGTCCTTAGGATGAACAAATCGAAACAATTGCGTGGAGAACGCAGGTTGCCCATGACAGGCATAAAAGGCCATGAGCTTTGTGGCAAAGAAGGCATTGTTCGAGTTGCCAGTGGTGATAACGAGGGAATGAAATTGAAGAAGAGATTGGAATGTTAAATTTTGTTTTGAAAAAAAAAAAATTGAAGACAACTACTAAGGTCGTGGGGATCTGAAAGTGAGCTAAATGTGGAAGAGAAGGCAAAGCGTTTGCGAAATTGTCTAAATTGTATCAGCCGGAGACTAAGCATAGCAACTCCTCATGCATGAAAAACTCCAAATATGGGCTTTTTTCTAATATTTGATGGGTTTATAGCAATTTGAATGAATGTGTCCTGTCAATAATAAAAGAGAATTATCCAAAGTAGAGGATATTAGTTCTAAATACAACCAACAAAGCTGAAGTAGATTAACAAACCAAAAACATGAATATCAAAACATAAAATGGTTCTAATTATGGTAAATTTTGATGATGGATTCTATTTTTCAGCCATTTCCTATGTGAGGGAGACATGAACAGAAGAGGAGAGGTAGTTTTAAAGTCATATTTACTGCTTCTTTTGTTTAAGAGCTAAAAGTTCAGGTTCAAACCACAGGATATGAGTTTTTTTTTTTAAGTGTGTAGCCCAAATGTGTTGCATAAATTGAAATTCCTCTTTCGCAGCATTGCTCCTGAAGTCTTTAGCTGAGAGAGTCTTACTCTCTTGACATTGATTGAACAACCCTTCTAGAGAAAAATGTTTTTTTTTTTTCACATAATACAATTTGAAGCATTGTCTAGAATATATTCATTCATTGTTTAGTGACAGATTGAATTCCCCTTTCACAGCCTTTTCTCCGTTTTTCTTTCTTACTTTCACAAGCTTACTAACACCATTTAGAATTCACAATCAGTTCAATCCGACACACCAAAAGTAAATTTCCAATCACAAGAACAAGAACAAACAACAGTCAGTGACTATAACAACAAGAAACCTATTAAAAAATAAACGACAAGAAACTGAGCTTAGAGCCACCAAACAATTTCCCATCACAAGAACAGAAAGTCCATTACTGGATCATTTGAATAAATCAGTTTAAATCCCTGTGTAAGTGAAATTACCTGAAATATCAGCAAACAAAACCACAAGCGATGGAAGGAGTCGACGGTGGGTGACGGAGTATGAGAGAGGCGATGAATGCGAGATGAGACGAACGATGCGATGGCCAATGGGTCTGCTAAGTTGAACAAAAGGAACCCTACAACAAAGATACATTTGGGTCGGTTCGGTCCTGTCTGAACCTTCATAAACCGAGTCACCGGTTCGGTTCGGTTTCTTTTTCTATTTTTTGTTTTTTTTTTTTTTAAATCTTGTTTTAGAATTTAGATAAAAAAATAATTTTGAATTTCATGAAAATTATTTTAAAGATTTTGTCATGAACGTTTTAAGTTCACCTGATTTTTTAAACTTCACGAACGTTTAAGTTTATAGCACCTTTTATGAAATATTTGAAACCAATATTTTCTGCAAGCATTAGTCGAAGTCATACATATAGTAACAACTTTATTATACTAGAAAAATATGGTCGTTATAGTTGGTATCAAAGGTTTAGGCTTATAGATTCGGTAGACTAGCCTATGATGAAGGTTCAACGTGCTTCCATAGTCTCATCGTAGACGCACCATTGTCATTAGGTATGTCTTATGAAGGATAATAATTGACCTTGTACGTAAATTAACATTGAATTTTTTTTAACTATGTCAAGATGGTTCAAAAGTATTACCCTAGTTGAGATTTCAATATTCTTATTTGAAGGCAAATATCTCATATTTTCTTACCGGTAAGGATATTGACTATGTTTATGCAATATAAATTTTAGAAGTGTAACGTTCCATTATAGTAATAATAATTAAAAAAACAAAAAGTCATGACATTGGTTAATAAGTGAGGAATACTATCTTCATTGGTATAAGGACTTTTGGGCGAGTTTATGGTCAAAGTAGACAATATCATACAATTGTAGAGACTTGTGTTCAACTAACAAGCGAGGCATCGGAGTTTTCGTGACACATGCTGAAACACGATCTCGCAACTCCCTCGGATCACCAAATGGTCCCACAAGCTTCAGCCAACATCAACCGAGCGCCTGCAATAAAGAGAAAGTGAGAAAAACCGTAGAGAGAGAACGAAACCTAAACGTCTTCGGCGAGAGTAAACCGGTGCATCCGATGCCTAAATCGATCAACCCACACTGTGAAAGAGATCGTCAACCATAATACGTCCATCCAAAGTAAGTTCCACGGCGTGACATTGTCCATTGTCATTGGAAGAAGGGATAAGCAGTTTGAACTTTTGAAACCTTGTAGGTCTACCAGTTTAGGCACCTACAAGCTATGGAACATGGTGGAAGAGAGAAAGAGAGGTCAATAGAGAGATAGAGGAGTTAAAGGAACGAGAAAGGACGTCGAAAACGTCGTGGGGGAGGAGAGAGAAAGCGATTGGAAAATCGCATTGTGAGTCGGGTGTGTTGGATGATGAAAGTCCCACATCGGCTAATTTAGGGAATGATCATGGGTTTATAAGTGAGGAATACTAACTTTATTGGCATGAGGCCTTTTGGGAAGCACAAATCAAAGCCATGAGAGCTTATGGTCAAAGTGGACAATATCATACCATTATGGAGAGTCCTCTCCGTCTAACACGGTGAAGAAGAAAGTATCCATGAGATCCGGATCTGGGTCGAATTCCACCCGTGACATGCTTTGCCTGTGCTGCAGCCATTAAGCCGAAGTCCAGTCCAAGCCTCAGCCCAGCTTAAGATATCCAACACGAATTCCACCCGTGACATGCTTTGCCTGTGCTGCAGCCATTAAGCCGAAGTCCAGTCCAAGCCTCAGCCCAGCTTAAGATATCCAACACGATTCAGCCTGCGATTCGTGAGCCCAATCCACCGGCAGCACCCAAGAACCCGAGACCCAAATCGTGTCATGACCCAACCCGTGAGACCCCTGTTCGATAAATCCTTACTTTTTTTTTTTAGTGAAATTGATCCCTATTTTCTTGTTAAAGCCACACAATTAGAGTGAGTGGAATATACACGTGTGGTAACGAAAGGTGGCAAACGATTTAATAGGAAACGAAACCCTAGCGACACTTGGAGCAGCTTTCAAGGAACCCTAGCGACACTTGGAGCAGCTTTCAAGGAACGGGAGCTAACGTTTATTAAATTAGATAGAACGACGGTAAGACCAACCAAGTAAGTGGCCTTACTATAGGATATGCTAGATACTTGTTTTCTGTATGACAACACGTGCCTAGTGGTAATGGCTCGTGCCCTTTATGTTGTATAAATATGGCGTATGTTGTATGATGACATATATGAGTTATATGATGATGTATAATGATGCTTGATGACGTGCTATGATAATTGTGATGTATTTGATGACATTATGATGACAATGTATGACTATTATGATGCATGATATAGTTACCTTAATATGACGACGTTTTCCATATTAAATAAGATGTGTGTTATGAATATCATTTTGCATCATGTCGAGAAATCGGCCTAGGACACAACCCTACAAAATATGATAACAATGTTAAGATGAGTAACTAATGCGCTTGTATTACCAATAATTATTTAGAGATGAAACTAGGGTTGTGTTAAGAAGATGTTTTAAAGACCGAGAAATAGAGGGACCTCTTGCATTTCTATAATGTACACAAGCATCAGGATACTTCTCCTTTTATGATGATGAGTGTGGACCCGCACGTTACGATGATGATGGTGATCATGTCGAGCATGACACTCAGGGGTCCGCTAACCTACGGACGTTGCTACAGACAACTAGCTCGACAATGATGGGTCTAGGGGTGCGAACCACATGGGAATTCACACTTGCATGTGGGGTCTTGTGTAGGGAAGTACTATGTATCCAAGTTAGTTTGGACTAGAGGCCACCCCTAGGATGGATAGTAATAGGTCCCTAGAGCATTGTTACATGTGTTTGCATTATTCACGGTCCACTATGGTGGGGTCACTTACTGAGTATTCTTCAAAATAATCAGGTCGTGTGCTACATTATTTTTAAGGTGAAGACAAGGTGCCCATATACGATTGACGGTGACATCGCAAAGTAGAGACCATGACACGTGCTTAGGATAGAAACATATTTAAATTCCTAGACCTAGGTTAGAGTAGGTTGCCTTGCCTTTCATATTTTTAAATTATTTCATATTTGTTTTTATTTGCATTTCAGTGTTACGTGTTGAACACATAAGACCATGACGGTGTTTTAAATAATGAAGTTGTTTTATTCTTTCAAAATTATTGCATAAATGTATGATGTTTAAGAGTTACATTCCGCATGTAAGCTTAGAACTATGATAGTAGCTAGTAAAAATTTAAGGTCTTTATGGTTGGTAACAGAGCTCTAAGTTATAGATTATATAGACTAGCCTACAACATAGACTTTGCACATTCTATGGTTCCAACGTCGATGACTCGTCACCGTCGGGTATGTCTTGAATAAGATAAGAAAAAGAAAACACTTTTAAAAAATCACATGCATTATTTTATGATAGGTACAAATATGACGTTGATTGTTGCATGTTAGATTGAATTATTTTTATGTGATATATTGCAATATGATGTGAATTTACATTATGCAATGAATTCTATATTCATAATAGTTAGTAAGTCTTAGACTTAAACAATGTTATTTTGGTTTTTAGAACCATGTCGTTCAGACTACGTAAAAGAGGAAGATGAGAAAGGGGACGACCTGTGTCGTCACCAGTCGAGCCGCCATAAGTTGCACCACCACCATCACAACCTGCACTTGAGGCCGCACCCCAGCGGCTGGAGTGGACGCCACCACTAGACTGATATGAGAGTCCCTTCCAACCTTAATACACACTCTACAGTCATCAAATAGGCCAACCAACCAACCAAGTAAACTACAAATACACTAAAAAAAATTCATGGATATAAAATTTGGATTCTAGAAATTTAGGAGATGAAATCAAGCGAAATAAGTTAGTCCAAGCTCGATTTTGTTGAAATTCTCAGTCCCCTCGTCCAAGCTCAAATTTGGATTCATATATGGCTCTATGAGACTATATGGTGTCGTACTTAGAGGGTGAACTAAAACCTCTCAGGTTCATAAAGTCACCCTCGTTGAGGGGTGCGACCCCTCCCTTATCCCATCTAGCTAATGGGTTGTACGACGTGGGTCTCTTGTTCTTCATGCGTAATGACTAGCTTCAGTCGGGATTAGATCAGAAACCCCTGTTTTCCTACGAATTTTTTTTTTATTTTTCGTATATGATTTTTTTCATTTACTCTAATCCTCAAATTTACTTTTTATAAGTGTTTAGATTGGTTCACTTTACGCAACACATTACAAGATACAAACATGTGTTAAATATGCCTTTTAAATAAAATAATAAAATAAACAGACAATATTTTCAAGCTTTTACGAGGACAGCAGAAACCAACCACCTAGTCCAAAGTTTTTTTTGTTTTTTTTTTTATAATTTAACCCAAAAAAAAAAAAAAAAAAGGACCATACCTCAGCAGTACCAAAATTTGTTTTTTTTTTTTTTTTTTTAATTATTTTCTTTTTTACGAAAATATTTTTGGTGTAATTTTTTGTGATCTTTTTAATTCTACAAACAAATAATTCCCTTTTACTTAGTTTTAATTTAATCAATAGCTTCACTTCATAAGGTTTTAATCACATTACCATCCCTACAAATAGCCGTTCATTAGTTTCTCATGCAGCAAGAACACATGGAGCTACCAAAGAAGCCATGGTTGGAGATATTGGAGCAATGCAAAATTGGTCCCTCCCCTTCACCGCCCACTCCCTTCTCTCTGCCACTCACTCTCTTCGATCTGAGCTTCTTTTCAGCACCTCCCACACAGCACATTCTCTTCTACTCCTTATCTCCCCATCAGCTACTTCACTTGGATTCAATACTCTTAAACCTCAAACACTCTCTCTCCCACGCCCTCTCCCACTTTCTCCCCCTCGCCGGAAGCCTCGTTTGGCCGCCTCAATCTCCGGACCCCTTTATTCTTTACAACCCTGGCGACTCTGTTTCCCTCACTATTGCTAAAACCCACGCTGATTTCCACCTCCTCTCTTCAAATCATGCCCGGAAGGCAACCGAATCCCATTTCCTCGTACCCCAACTCCCAACATCCGACACCATTGCTCCAGCCATGTCTCTCCAAATCACTTTATTCCCCAAAAGTGGGTTTTGCATTGGCATCATAACCAACCATGTGGTTTCTGATGCCAAAACATCCACCATGTTCTTGAAATCATGGGCTTCCATTTGTAGTACACTCAATAATACTAATAATAAGAATCCCCCCACGTTGCCGTCTGAGTTGACACCATGTTTTGATAGAACATCCGCCACGGATCCAAATGGGTTGCATACAATTTATGTTAAGTCTTTTGAAATCTTTGTCCCTAAATTACTTGGACTTGCCCCGAAAGAGGTCATCTCGGATGATGTGGTGTATGCCACGTTTGAGCTTACTTGCATTGACATAGAGAAGGTGAGGAGAAGAGTGGTAGCAACTTCTTCATCCACTCCTCGTCGTTTAACCACTTTGATGTTGGCGTTTTCTCTTGCCTCGACTTGCATTGTCAAAGCGCAGCGAATTGCACCCGAATGTAAGATAGGGTTGATCTTTCTTGTGGATTGGCGGGCTCGTATGGATATGCTAGGAGGGCTCAATTATTTTGGTAATTGTGTAAGTGCGTATGGAGTGTTTGCTGAAGCGAGGGAGTTAGAGGAAGAAAATGGGATGGCGATGATTTCAAATAAGATTAGTGAGGAAATAGAGGAGATAGAGAAGAATGGGAAGGAGAACAAAATAGTGGAAATGTTGGAAGCAATTTCGGAGAGATGGAGGAAAGAGATGCCCATTGATAAGCTTATTATAGTGGCGGGATCACCAAGGCTTGGAGTTTATGACATTGACTTTGGTTGGGGAAGGAGTAAGAAAGTGGAGCAAGTTTCCATAAGCCCTAATGGAGTTTTTTCAATGGCGGAGAGTAGAAATGGGGATGGGGGAGTTGAGCTTGGAATTGCTCTTCCACCTCAAGCTATGGACAAGTTTTGCTCTCTATTTTCAGAGACGGTGAAAGGCTATGTTGATTAGTGGAGATATCTACACTACAAGGCCTCTTCTATGTGTGTTTTTGGTGGTTTCTCTTAATTATCTATTAAGGTCATGACATCATCAAATAGTGTCTCCACGTTTATTTGTCTATTGTCGTATCTATTTGTATTAAGAAGGAATCTCTACTTTCTACGTCCTTCATTGAGATTCCTCGTTTGTCTCCTATCCATTTACTTTTTGGTTAAATTATATAAAAATGGTGTTACGTTTTAAGGGAGCAATGTGAGCTAATAAACTTGAGCTAATTGAACAACTTACAAACTTAAATAATAAGTTACTAGCTTATGAAGTAAGCTTAGTAGAATATGTTACTAACTAATGGAGCAACTATAAGAGAATTGATAGTAGTTTTCAAATTGTGGACCAAATGTTGTACTTTAATTAATAATCTATTAACAAGATTATTAGTAGTTCTTAACTTGAGGAGAAAGTTTAAGAAAAAATAAACGAGTGAGTGCTTTCTCCACTATAAATACTCATGAGAAATATGTTTTTTTCACAGCAAAAGAGAATTGAAAAGTGCTTAAGATTACTTCATTCCAAAAAGTTCTCTCCACTCAAGTTTTTCCTTTGCCTCTTATACTTGTTTTGACATTCTGGGGTGAGGCAATATGACATGCAGTTTATCTTCTAAACCGTTTACCGAAAAAGGCGTTGGACACTTGCACCCCCTATGAAGCATGGTTCGACAAGACACCTCACTTTGAGTACCTAAGAGTCTTTGGTTGTACAACACATGTTAAGACGAGAAAGCCATATATCAAAAAGCTTGATGACAGAAACCAAAAGATGGTGTATTTTGGCGTAGAGGATAGGACTAAGGCACACAGGCTGTATGATCCTCAACATGAGAAAATTTGTGTTAGTAGAGATGTCGTATTCGAAGAAGAGAAGAAGTGAGATTGGTGCAATGTTGGTGATAACAAGCAGACTGTTATAGAGTTCACTACTCTAGAAGAAGAGGGAGACGCAACAGACCAAGAAAGTGCCCCTACAGAAATACCAACAAGTCCACACATGTCATCACCGGAGACACTGAAAGGTGTAATAGACTCTCTAGAACAAGAGAGTTCAAGTGAGAGCATAGGAGGATCCACAACAGAGGATCAACCAAAGAAGTTTCATTCTCTTGCTAAAATTTATGCGGATACACTTGAAGAAAAATTTGATCCCGATGAGTTAGTGTTTCTCGCGGCCGAGGAGCTGACAACGACAAGGAGATGTCCTCAAATTCATCAGTTTAAAGTGGGTGTTTTAAGTTGGTTAAGAATATAGAAGGAGATGTCATCAAGCATAAAACAAGACTTGTGGCGAAGGAATATGTGCAACGAAAAGGAGTTGATTTTGAAGAGGTTTTCGTGCCTGTGGCTAGATTGAACACTATAAGGTTGATTCTTGTCCTCGCAACTCAACACCGTTGGGAGGTCCATCACTTGGACGTCAAATCAACATTCCTTAAAGGTGAACTCCAAGAAGAAGTGTATGTTGCCCAACCAGAAGGGTTCGTCATCAAAGTTGAAGAGCACAAAGTGTACAAGTTGTCAAAGGCCTTCTACGGTTTACGACAAGCACAAAGCACGTGGAACATACGTCTGGACAAGAGCTTAAAGAGTCTAAATTTCATGAAGTGCTCGCAAGAACAAGAAGTGCATACAAGAAACAATGAGACTAAAACACTCATAGTAGGCATATACGTTGATGACCCAATTGTCACCGGTACAAGTGTGGAAGACGTCAAAGAGTTAAAGCAGCAAATGATGAAGAAATTTGAGATGACTGATCTCGGGTTACTCACGTACTACCTCGGTATTGAAGTGGACTAAAGGAAAGATTGCATCATGCTAAAGCAATCGACCTATGCTAAGAAGTTATTGCAGCAATTTAAGATGACAGCGTGAAACCCGACCAAGTATCCCATGGAAGCAAAGTTACAACTCAAGAATGATGCTCAAGGAAACTTGGTGAATTCCACTGAGTATAGGCGTGTCATAGGAAGTCTAAGGTACTTGAATCATACTCGTCCAGACCTTTCATATGTTGTTAGAATAATGAGTAGGTACATAGAAAATCCCACTATTATGCACATTCTCATCTATATGAAGCAATCGACCTAGTCGGTTTACTGATAATGATTTAGTTGGAGACGTTGATGATAGAAAAAGCATCACATGAATGACATTTTATCTTAACGGAAATTTGATCTCTTAGCAATCTCAGAAGCAGCGAATTGTGATGCTATCTTCCTGTGAGGTTGAGTTCATGGTAGTAGCTACGGCGTCGTACCAAGCAGTGTGGCTGAGAAATTTGTTGAGCGATGTGACTAGAAGTGCCGGTAGCTTTCTACGTCGACAACAAATATGCAATTAAACTAATGAAGAATTCAGTATTTCACAGACACAGCTAATACATTGACACTCACTTCCACTTCATCCATGAGTGTGTTGAGAAGAGACAAATCATTTTGGAGTTCGTATTCACTAGAGAGCAACGTGCAGATATTCTAACCAAGTCCCTAGCAAAAGTTAAGTTTGTAGAGATGCGGGAATTGCTGGAAGTGAAGAATCTCGAAAAAAATTAAGTTCACCGAGGAGATTGTGAGCTAATAAACTTGAGCTAGTTGAACAAGTTACTAACTTATATGGTAACTTTAAGAGAATTGTTAGTAGACTTAGTAGAACAAGTTACTAACTTAAGTTAGATTGTTAACCCAACCCAACCCTAACTCTATTTTTTTGGGTTGGGTTTAGATTGTTCTAAATTTTAAGAGAGTACATGAATAATAATTACCCTAATACTTCTAGAACCGATTAGCCTTGAAGAGCTAGTGTCAACACTATGAAATGAGAGTTTGACATTTAAACTACCTAGAGGCTTTAAGAATCTAGTAAACCTCCACGACATCCAAGTTAAGAAAGATTATAAGAAAGATTACCAGATCCATTAGTACTGTTAATAGTATCTATTAGTGTTAGACAACCTCCTATTTTCCGACCTAGTACCGTTAATAGTGCCTCAATAACACTATTTGTAGAACTATGTCAGACCTAGAAAATGCCCTTATCAAGGGGTAGTTGTAATTCTTTAGGAACTCATATCGTTGAGCTTAACCAAGGTCAGACATTTTCCTAAATTCAAGTTTGCGAATCTTTCATTCTTGAAGTTGCTCCAAATGTTGCAAGAAGTCGATTCTTAATAGGTTGTCCATTTCGTGTCATTAGAATTTCAAATTTTTAATATAATTTTACTTGAATTTTGTGAAATAGGGCATCATACTCACCTTAATTACCTTAATTACAGTCAAAATCAGCTTCGAGGGGGTCGAAACTGTGTTGAATTGACAAAATTTTCTTTATCGAGCCGAATAGTTTATTTTTGTGCTGCGGAGTGAGTCTAGTTGTTTAAGTCGACTGAGCCGAGGGAGCCTTTTCGCAGTAGGTTGACACGTGGCACAATCAAAGGACGATGCGTGTGCCAGTTTTGTCGGGTCGAGGCCCGAGTACGTGGGCACGACGCGGTGTTGGGATCCTGCAAGCGTGGCTGACATGAGTATTGGGCCTTGGGCATCAGGCTGCTATAGGTGGGTCGAGTATGTAGTTTGGGACTCGGGTGTTAGGCTGCTGCAGGATTGGGTTGGATCGCTAACAGGTTGAGGAAATGGAATTGGATCTGGGTTGAGGCGCGACAGGTTGGTTCTGTGCAGTTCCGGTCGGATCTAGATCCGACGAATCATTTCTTCTTCACCCATTTTCCTCGTCTCTCTTGACTTATGTTCTTGGTTTCCCTCACTTCCATGGTATCTTTCGCCTCCAACATACCTAAAAAGTCTTAGAAGATTGGTACTCGAGTTCTGACGGTGGCATAAGAACGCTAAGGAATCTGAGAGGTATGCGTCTTACCAGGGTTACCGTTGGATTGTGTTGGGAGAAGGGATAGTGAAAGAGATATGAACAGGGGTTACCCTTGGATTGGGTTGAAAAAGGGGTAGTGAAAGAGATATGAATCTTCGATGGTGTTGGGGAAGGGAGAGGGAAAGAAATATGAAAAGATAAAATAGATAAAAGTTGGGGTGATTTATTATTGAGTTCTCGTCTATACTTAAAGAGTTAACCATCATTATATATAGGGTTATACACTCAGACCATCATAAATAGTAAATTATGGAGAGAGAAATTCAAATCTATTAACACTCTCCTGTAATCTCTTAAAATGTTTTGTAATTTGAATACTTTAATCACATATTGAATCATTTTTTCATTTTGAATATTTTGAATTATATATTTGACATTTCAATCATATTTCTACAGATTGTAGCCTTGTTATGGTTGTCGTATGTAGAAAGAAGGACGACTCTTCACCTTCTGCTTTCTTTCTCCGTCTCTCACACTCTCTCCGTGTGTAGACGGTTGACTTCTAAATCACATATTGAATCATTTTTTCATTTTGAATATTTTGAATCATATATTTGACATTTCAATCATATTTCTACAGATTGTAGCCTTGTTATGGTTGTCGTATGTAGAAAGAAGGACGACTCTTCACCTTCTGGTTTCTTTCTCCGTCTCTCACACTCTCTCCGTGTGTAGACGGTTGACTTCTGTAGACAGTTGACTTCTGACAATTGGGAGGAAAACGCTAACGAATACATCGAAAAATTTCTACCAAGAAAAAAATGACAAAAAGTAAGAGAGAGAGGGATTTGCTTAAGGATGATTTCAATTGAACTTCACCTCTTCCACTCAATAGTTACTTGGTTTTAACTACTTCCCACTTAATAGTTATCTGGCTTTAACTACTTCCCACAAAATAGTTACGTGTGTTTAACGTAAAATAGTTACCTGGGTTTAACGTAAAATAGTTACCTGGTTTTAACGTAAAAGGTTTAACGTAAAAATAGTTACCTGGATTTAACCTAAAATTGCCTGGGTTGTTTAATGTAAAAATAGTTACCTGGGTTTAACGTAAAAATAGTTACCTGGGTTTAACTTAAAAATAGTTACCTGGGTTTAACGTAAAAATAGTTACCTGGGTTTAACTTAAAAATAGTTACCTGGGTTTAACTTAAAAATAGTTACCTGGGTTTAACGTAAAAATAGTTACCTGGGTTTAACGTAAAAATAGT